TTTGCTAGTAATTGTGGAAGGTGAAGCAACAACATCTTCTGATTCATACTCTGATCGATCTTGAGCATAGTCATTTTCGCTCGTTGATGACATTGTGGTTTGTTGATAATCTTCAATTTGTTTCGGTTTTTTAATGGCTGTTGTCTCCATAATATCATTGTCTTCGTCTTCTTCATCATCAGAATTGAGAGATGCCAAAAGTGCTTGAGCCGATTCTTGATTTAAGTTGTTTAATAGAGAATAACCATCGAATACTTGTTTTTTTTTTGATTTAACAGAAGGAATTGATATTAATTTGTTGACAGTTACAGGAGGCGTGGCTTCTTTGGGTGGAGAATTTTTGGCTTTGTCAAGAATAACACGACGATTAGATAAGATCCCACCATTTGAACGAGTTGTTTGACTATTTGATAGTATTAAATGAGATGGAGATATATCATGGTCGGTGGAAGTAGTATCCTGATTTGGCACGGCAGATAGTTGTTCCTAAAAAGATGGAAGCAAACAAACTATTTAAGAAACTACTCAATTTATAACGTTTCTGTACATACCAGCACACCTCTAAATGCTTGTAATCCATTCGTTAGTGATGGTGGACTAAAAATAGAGTAGAAAAATAAGTGAGTAAAATGGTTAGACATGAGAATATTTTTACGGTAATTCTTGGTATGTAACCGAGTGAGGATCGATGGGTCTTGAGAGTAAAACATCATTGTAATTTTGATACCAATATTGCCGATCAAATGGATATAACAAATCTTCTTCTGTCATACCACGAGGGGCATCTATTCGTAGAATACAACTTTCATCATATCTCTTAAATTCTATAATTAAAACACACTTACTTGAATTACTATTGACAGGTGGAGATATGTACGGTCTAAATAGAAATAAACAATAAAAATAGCTTTCATTATTTTCAGTCATTAGTAACTTTAGCTATAAAATTATCGCTTTAATGAGTTGAGTGATATGTATGTTATAATGTATTATACCTACTCTAGATGTTTTGATTGTGATGTTGACTTATAATCATCAACTAAACAATTAAACAAAGAAAATAAAAACATTAAAAGCTACAGAGAAAATTTTTGAGAGTACACAATATTTTCTCTTCTATGTTACACTAAACTCAAAATTCTATTGATAAGCATAAAATGCCAATAAAATTATCCTCCAAAACTAGTGAACACAGTGCAGAGAACAACAGGTCTATTAATATGGTCTAAATAATAAATCATTCCAGTATCTACAGGTGCCCAAAAATATTAAATAATTCTTATTTAATTCACCGTGTGTACTTACCTTGTGACCATGGTGTATTACTGGTGTCTTGTAGTGATTCTATTTGTTCAAATGCATAATCATAATCTTCAAATATTCTTGGTATAAACTGAATATGAAAACCGGCACCTTTCTTTTTCTTATGGGTAATATTTAAAACAATTGGTCGTTGATTAAGAAATGTATCGAGTTGAATGTTCAATTTTACATCACCTCGACCATGTCTTGATTCAATATTTCGACCAAAATTCTCACATATACGCTGTTGTTCACAACGAATTGTTGATGCACTGCTAACACGATCATACATTTCACTATAATGAATCTTCTAAATAAACATCGGGACATGAACAACATTGACGTTGAAAACAAAGCCGAGCTAAATAATTCATTTGAAATATACACTTCTCGAATTTGTATACATTGTCTTTATTCATTGAAGATGATCGAAAACTAAGCATCTCTGTCCACTCTTCAATTACATAAAAAGTTTTAATACAAACTCTTTCGTATCGTTTATGTGAGAGAAAAGATCATTGCTCTACTAGAGAAGAAATTTTGTTTAACATTGTAAGTTTAACAGTATACGGCTAAACTGGATACTATTCACCGAATTATCTGAAGATTCTTTTCTGAAGAAAAACCTACATTATGAACCGAAGAAAGTAACAAGATTTTAGAGTTCAAAAGAAGTTTAATCAATATTCGAGTAGATATCTTTTCTAAAATGTTTTTCTATTTCATAAAAATTGTATATACCATAAATTTTTTTTGATGTTGTATACTGAGTACATGTTGCAGGACATTTGAATAGAAACATTTACATTGACATAAATCACAAACATACAATGGATTATCCAAAATATTCTCAAATTGAAATTCAATTATATATTCCAAACCTAGACAAATTAGAAACAGCTGACATTTGTTAAATTCCAAGCTTGAAAATACATTTCTACAATGTGTTCCGATTATGTTGAGAAAGGGTGATGGATTTTATATTTGAAAATTTTTTGCAAAGTGTCTGTGAAATTTTTCGCCTTTTTTCTCCAGCGAATGTCTACTAAAGTTTGAATTCTGACTGAAAACAATCAAAGACCATGTCTCCTTTCTATCAAACACATTATGGAATAATAAAAAAATAGCTGGAAGAAGATCTATCGGATGATCCAGAAATAATAGTCTCTCAGTATTTTGACTATAGTTTTGTCTTTTTAACTCATAGTCATAATTGTCTTTCAGAATGATGTGCCATAAAATTCTCTACGAAAAATATATTGAACACTTTCTTTTTTTATATATAGCAAAAATAAAAGAATATAGATGGGATACTGCGAAGCTTCAATCTTGATCATTTTCCAATAAAAAACGTAACCGAAAAAAATTATTTTGAGTACATTTCTCTACGTAAAAGTGGAAGCAGAACGTATGTTCTTATGTTCCGAAGTAATATTCTTCTATTTTGTGTATTATCCATTCGCTTTAAATGTACTTTTCGATCAGAGAAGGCGATTTTATTACCCAAAACTAGTTTAAAAATGATCATTTTTAGCGACATCGAAAAAAGAAAAAGAATTCTTCCGCAACTGCTTGTAACTATGAAGCGTTTCAGATATGACCAATTAATAGAGCTTTTTAAGAGCCACAAAATGGCCATCTTCTCATCTTTTGTTTCGTAAAATATAAAGGACTGAAACTGGAAAAACTGCTTTTTTTATTGGAAAGTGATCAAGATTGAACCTTCGTAGTATTTTATCTATATTCTTTTGTTTTTGCTATATATAAAAAAAGTGTTCAATATATTTTTCGTAAAGAATGTTATGGTATATCTTTCTGAAAGACAATTATGACTAGAGAGAGAGTTAAAAAAACTAAAATATAGTCAAAATACTGAGAGGCATTATTTCTGGACCGTTCGATACATTCCATTTCAGACATTCAGAGAAGCGTAACTGATAACTCAATTCTTTTATGTTGTACAAAATATCTAAATCTTCTATTTTTTTTCCTTTGTTCACGTATTATGCATAGAGCAGGCGAAAATTGTAAGCGCCATCAATGCTACTGTCTGTTGTATATTTTCTATTGTCGAAAAAAGTGAGTAGTAATACATTCGTTTGAATATTACCTAATAATGGTTGTTTAACTTGTTTGAATAAACTATCGCATCTTAATTCTCTATTATAAACTTTTTTACTTAAATTATCGGGAGATAATAACGTTGAATAAGACTGACGATATTCGAGAGGAACTAAAATAATTAGAAACGAGTGATCAAATTCGGATAATTCATCATGATGTACTTACCCGACTGTAGAACGTCGTTTATACTTTGTGCCTATGAGTAGAAATAGAAACAAATGTCAAAGAGAAGCGTATGAACTTCTGACATACCTGATGATGCTGTAAACTGTTTAGATGTGTATTGAATTGTTTTTGATTATTATGCTCTGTTTTACATACGGGACAGGAGAAACGTCGTTGAGATTTCGGTTGAGCTACATTCGACGGTTGTTGATGCGGTTGGGGAATTTTGATTGGTGGTGTTGATAATAATTGAGCGGCTTGTTGTCGAACGATTTGTGCATAAGGTAAAGGAGGATCGGGTAATGGGAGAAAGGAAGACACAGTTTGACCTGGTGCAGGACCCAATAACGATGGACGACTATTTAAATTATCACTCAATAACGCCGCAGATTTCTAAACGACAATATACACGAACTAATTTCGGTTCTGAGGCATCTCAAAGCTCTCTTGTTGTTAAGACTTTTTCAACGCGTATTTTACATATATCAGAAGAGTAGTTAGTTTCCTTCTGTTTACGGTTTTTTTGTTTACTATAACAGTTGTACTACGATTTTAAAACGTGCAAGCTCTTTATCCAGGACTGGTACGAACAGAAACTGGGTCGAGGAAGCAATTTTTCAATAATCGAAAACTCTTCTTTTCTCTCATTGTACTCATCAGCGTTTTCTTCTACTATGATGTATTTAGCAGACAAGTTTTATACTAGTCGCAATGAAAATTTATCCACCCCTCTTAAAAGTCTCGCGCCAGCCGTGTCTTTACCAAAGACTTTTAATTTATATATGCACTAAAAATGACTAAAGTACATGAAATATGGTGAGTTGATTACACTTTTTGATATGAATCTTACCATAAAGGACTTCGAAATCCTACTGCTACTTTTTGTCTTTTGCTAGTAGGAACCCTACTTCATGGTATAAAGAAAAACCAAGAGTTAGGAACAATGGTTCAAATCTCTGAGAATTTCTTGTTGCTGAAAAATAAGATGACTTTGTTTGTTTTAAATATCTATTATACTCAAGTATCACTTGAGTAAAAATCTGTTGTACTCGTACTCATACTTGTACTCGAAAAATCGTGTACTGATTCATCTCTGGTCGAGGATGTGACAAACACCAAATGTTCGTAACGTACCATTGTCTATTGCACGCCCAAAGTTTAAACCATCGTAACAGAAAATATCTGAAATTGAAGCAGCTTGAAATAGTGACAAGAATGCAATAAATTGATAGGTTTTTCTTTTTCATAACTGTCGCCAATGAGAAAAGAATCTTATTCTTGTCATCAGGGACGTGTAACATTTTTACTTCAATTTGATTGATTGCGTCCAGGCCCGTAGTCAGAGGGGTGTCAGTTGTGCCCGGGCACACCTCATAAGTAAAAATTGCTATTTAACTGCTATGAAAGAGAACAATCACATTTGATTTCTAAAAGAAATTACTGACGAGATAAGGTTCGAGCTTTCATCTCTTTTCAAAAGACATTATTAGAAATGACAGGTAAAATATATATTTAATAAATATTTTACCAATCCCTAAACCTTAAATGAGCTGTGACAAGAGATATCTGCATCTTTTTTCGAGCGTTTCATTGATGCAAACCGGTGTGAAGATTCTTTTGCGTCCTGTTAGTTTTCTGGACCGGTCGCTGTCGCACAGACGGCTATATTACAATCAGAACCAGTACAAACAAAAAACAAAATGCAATCTTGTTTATCATTTCTGGAAGTATAAATAATGCTATGCAACAGTAACCAGGAATGGGTGAGTTGCGAGAAAAATCTTTTTAAAACTCTGATAGAACGAAGCAAAGAAAACCGGATGAAGAAGAGACAGCCTTCGCCCGTCACTGACTAGTCGAATAAATGTTTATCTACTCAGTATCACTAGCACAATGGAAACTAAGAAGATCAAAGATAAGAGAGGGAGAATGAATTTAATTTAATTATAATTTTTCGCGAAAAAAGCTGCATTTGCATAAGTTGTTGAAGATGAATATTTCTTAACCTTTAAACTGTATAAATTGTTTTTGAGAAATCATATCTGAAGTCGAATTTAAAAAACTTCACAAACTGTTCATGGAAAATTTATTGCAACTTTCTGCTAATATTTTTCGCATGTAATACTACTTTTTCTCCATAATTCGTAGAATTCAGAATAAAAAGTAATGTGCAATGAAGAGAATCAAATAGGCCTCTAGCGACTTAATTATAAAACATTCTTCAGACTGCGGCTTTGATCTATGTGAGCGTCGTTAGTTTTTGTTTCGCAGTTTATGACGACAAGATTAAAACAAAGAAAGCAGCGTTACTTCTCTTTCCTAACAGCAAGGTTTTTACAATAAATGAACTTAATAAATTGAGCGCAGAAAGTGAATTGATACATAAGAATTCCTGTCATCAGGACAGCACAGTACAGGATCTAGAAAATTAATTTTGTGCTTATGTACGGCAGAAGGAAAAATGGCCGACGGGTATTTTGTGGACGACGCCAATAAGATATACCAAAACAAGAGGGCTCTACAATCTTAGTTGCAATTCAATGACAAAGTTCAGTTAATAATTAGACTTACAATTAGAAACCCAATGGAAATTACCGTGGATTTCAGCGTTTCATGTTGGATCATAGTGACAAGTCCACTTATCGATCATACAATTAAAAACACTGCTCCATAGTTCTAGATTTTTTCTGGAAGGTGCGTTTTCGTATTCAGCACACTCGATCACCCAGAAGATTTTCTATTTTCGGCGAGGGGTACTTCCAAAAATTTAGGAAATTTTCGATGTTCTTTTTCGATGTTCTATCTCTGGTATAAATTTCACCCCGATCAAGCATCGGTTTCCCCGGTTCACAAGAGGGTCAAAAAAGAGGAAGCTACCCTTAATCGATCTGCAAAGATCGATCATGTGTTCGTTTCAAAAAGATCGAAAAAATATAGAATTTGCCGATTGCTCAAATATCACGACAATTTCTATTCATTTTTCATCCTAATTGCAAAAACAAGAAAACCTTTTTTGGCGTTTAAATAGAGCATTCGAAAACAAGTGGAATACAAAAACACCCCTTAATTTGATTATACAGCCAAAGGTATACCGTTTCTGTTTGTTAGGCGTTTTGTTTGCGTGAAAAGAATCGTATCAATTAATATCCATTCAAAATAAATTTGAGTAGGGACAAATATAGCAACCGATGTCGAGCTCTTTTTTCAAATATCGACGATTCAACTGTCGTCGGTTACTGCAGGGTTAACCGATGGTAATTTATTAGACCGCAATACAGAAAAATATAGCACGATAACCATTTTTATACATTCATCGTTTTGTTTTGCATTCTTCAGTACATATAAGAAACACAAAAAAATTCAAAAAATTGGATTTTATTCAAAATAAACGGTCCTTTTGGATCATATAGACTCGTCGAAGTTCCAACTTCGACTCGAGACTAATTTCTCTCAATCGGAACCCTCTCTGCGCTCACAAACGGTCAATAAAAAGAAAGAAAGTTGAAAACTATATACGAACTCCCGTTGTACTTGTTCATAATGACAGAGTACCGGACGGTTATACCAGCGGTAAACCGAACGGTGACCGCGGTTACCGTGCGGTAATTTCGATTTTGAAACCGTATATCGATCACATTACAACGCGCTGACCTTCAAACTATGAGCAATACTTTGAAAAAATATTTACGGGACCGCGGCCAAAATTGTTTGATCCCTTAGGCCTCTAACCATGGTAGTGACCGAGCGGTAACCGGACGGTACTTGCATTAGCAATTTGAATGTAAGCAAAGTTTACGCGGATTTTCACCCAGTAGCGCCTTCTATTCCACTCAGGTACATATCAAAGAAAAAAATAAAATTGATTTTGAATTGCTGAAAAGTGCTTTTGGGTATCCAGCATACTATAACCCACAAGATTTTCTATTTTTGGCGAGCGATTTGAAACAAAATGGCGCAAACAAATTTCCATGGGTAATACAATATTAGCTTGAAAATTTTCCTAAACTTTTAAAACTACGCCCAAGTTGTGTAAACCACTCGAAAACTATCGGTTAACTGCGGTTAACCGACTGTTTCAAACCGCTCGAGCGACTATCGTTCTCGAGCGGTTTACACAACATGACACCCCTCGCAAAAAATAGAAAATCTTCTGGGTTATCGAGTGGGATGAATACGAAAAGGCATTTTTCAGCAACTCAAAACAAATTTTTTTTTTCAGTAATATGCCATTCCCGTTGACTGCTAGATATGTTGTATTAACTGAAATTTCCGACTCACGAAAATCTTCCGCAAGGGCATTACTTATGACTAATCAATAGACGAAAAATTGGAAAAAAGAAATAAAAGGTTGGGATAAGCCAGGAGCGAACCGTGGACGTAAATCACTGTAATCAATGTCATTCTTGTGGTTTTTTGCGTTGAGTGTAGTGATTTGCTTCGACAGTTCGCTCCTGGCTTATCTTAACCGAAAACAAACACTTTTTCGAATGGTAGTATGGTCAATTACATCATTGAGGGTAATTTATTTTTCACCAGCGGCAAGCAACCTTATTGGTTTTGATTGCTTTCCTCAGTTACCGTCCGTCCTAAACAACTTGAAATTTAATCTTATCGTTGATATCCAATCATCTTGATCGATATAAAATGGATTATTTGTTGGATTCTTCATATTTTTGTATTTATTTATATTATATTGCACAGCACGTTATATCTAACTGTATATTGTGATTCCTCAAGGAAACTTTATAGTTTTTAGTTGAAGATAGAATGTGACATCGTATGCAATTATATAAAGTCTTTTTTAATTACTTCTCGTACCATCGTGTAGTAATCTATTTGTTGTTTTTTGAATTTGCATACGCTAAAGTATCAGTTGTGCTCATCTGCTATTAATCACCGTTATATGCTAATTGATACTTCAATCTTGATAAGCAATTTATGTAGTAATTCGTAGTGAATACGTGAACTCTGGAAATTTTGAGACAAAATATAAAGTCTAACTAAATTTTTTTACTTGCAATTTTGTATTTATGACATAAATCGTTATATATTACTGTTTCTATTTCAAGACGGGTATATTTGTGTATGTAAAGTGATATTGCATTATGATACACCTTTTTTCATTCTGTTTGCTTACGATGTGTATTAAATTCTCTAGTTTATACGACGAATATTCTCCAATTGTATACGCATATATAGTTTGTGTATATATTTATACAGTTTATCTACTAGAACATACTTATATCAATTAGCTTAATATTCATTTAAATAAGTATTTGAAATAACTGTAAGTGAATGTAAAGAAGATTATTTCATGTAATAACTCAAATAGATACTTTGAAGAGAATGTGTATTGTAAAAGTGTGTATTTAAAAACTTTACTCAAAATTAGATGGTAATCTGTGTATTAATGGTATATTGGTAGTGTCGGTAATAATCGCTTTTTTCTTTTCTACACTAAATCTACGTACGATTGTAAGCCCTCTCTCCTCTTTTTTTTTTGCATTATAAGTCTTTAATCCTCTTATTTTTATCGATACTATACTGGATAGTATATCTAATTGAAGATATAAGTCTTTTAGCGCTTTTTTTAACTTTTCAGTTTATGTTTATTATTCGTATTCGTATACTCTACACAAGTAAAATAAAAGAAATATGATTAAAGAAAAGATCAAGATGAAGGAAAAACGGAAGGAAAAAATTAAAATTTGTAATATTCATACAAAGTATTTTTTTGTTATTGTAGTCACCGACAACAACAAGCTTAAGAAATGTAAAAAGCCAAGGGCTGAGTGTATAGTGTAGTTTATTATAAAAGAAAACGAACAGTAACGTGTTGTTCATATTGTTCAAAATAGTTCTATCGTACTTACTATACAGGAGAGAGAACACACAAAAAACAAGAGAAAAAAATAAATAATTATGTTATCATTTTCACACACGGAAATGCAACAACCCACGATCATTTCATTATTACCACGTTATCCAACAAGGTATGTATTCAGGTTCAAATAAGTACTGACATAATGAAAAAACAACAACGAATGTTAGTTACAATCGTGTGACAAATTTGATTTAATATTATAGTGTACACTGATTCTGATCCCCTTTTCTGTCACACTATCACTCAAGATTTCTGTATAGTGTAGTCTTCCTCTTCGTGTTCATTTCAATTTTCTTATCCCGAGAATAACACAAGATATCATCATGTACTGGATTTCTTTTACCAAAAAAATGTATAAAATTTAATTTACTAAATAGTTTAAAATGTGATGATAATGTCATGTTAGATCACGTTATAAATTTGAAATCTGAGATAGTTTGTTAAAAGGATAAGAGTATCACATTTTTATTGTATATATCGAATAAGTATGAGTTTATTTTTCTTTCTAATCGTTGATGGATAATATTTTTTGAAGTGTACTACGACTGTCACAAATACAAATAGCAAAAATATTTTACTATAAAAGTATTGATTGTAGTTGATTAGTAAAATGGACTCTGGTTCATTCTAAATTAAGGCCATACACAATCCTTGAATGTCACCGCATAGAACACTTGCTCTGATTCGATAAATAATTAGAATCGTCCTCAATTATAATATTATTCTTTACTTATCAGTCTAATGAAAGACTATTTAAGTTTGTTTCATGTCTAGTTTTGTTATTTCATTGTTCTTCTGTATTCAAGATGTAATTAATATTATGTGCCTCTCATCCTTGATTAGATTCATCCGCTTCAATGAGCTCTTTTTTTTTCATTTTCTTTATTTTCCTGGTTGCCTGAAATTTTATTCTCTTTCTAAAACAAATTGGTTTTTCTTAGACAGAACGGCGATAACACCGTAGCTACTACTATAAAAAAGACCATAAAAAAATAAATTAACTTTTTCTCTATTTTCTTGTGTAAATATTTATCTCTTTGAATAAAAAGTTATCCTTGACGCATTATTCAAATTAAAAAAAGTGTGTATGTTCTCTTCTCCATTTTTTTGAAAAAACAAAATTCTGTTTTGTGGTTTTTCCTTATTTTTTTCTCGCTCCTTATGCTATAGAGAAAAGAAGAAAAAAAAAATTGTAAATGTTTGGCATATTTTCAATGCATAAACAAAATATCTACTTACATTACGACTTTCATCCCAATTTTTTTGTCCTGTTATCAAACAGTTTTTATTATGTTGCTTTATTCGTTAGAATTGTTAGATTTGTAGAAAGAAAGACATTTTTGTTTTTGTAAGTTGCACAAGGTGAACTGAACGACACATTTTATTTTGGAATTCACTTTTTAGCAAAATGAGATAGTTTCTAGTACTAGTTTTCCTAGTCATTTTTGTCTACCCTGTTAAAAATATTATCTTTTTAAAATTAAGTGATATTTTTGTTATCTATTTGATCAAATATTGTTCTAATACAACTTCTTAAATCAGAAAATTAAAGTTTTTTTTCTTCTCATACTTCTTGAATCGAGATCTACAATCAAGAAGACAAGAAGAATATCAATTTCTTTAGAAAAAAGCGCAAGATGTTGATAATAAATGTGCAAAAAAAAGAAAACCTTTTGCTAAAATGATGTTTTTTTATTTATATGTTTTAGATCAATGGATGTTCCTGGTAGTTCATTAGAGTCTTCGTTTGTTGTTAGTGAAGTATCACATATTATAAAAGAGACTATTGAACGTATTATCGGTGGAAGTTCCTATCAACAGAATAAAGTAAATAGATGGACAGCCGATATTGTTGATCATGTTCTTACTGAAATAACGAAATTGGATAAACCATTTAAATATATTGTACAAGCTGTTGTTATGCAAAAAAATGGAGCTGGTTTACATACGGCGAGTAGTTGTTATTGGGATAATACAACAGATGGATCATGCACTGTTAGGTAAGTGTCATGCAGAGAAGAAAAATCTGAAAATGTTTGAATAGATTGCGATAATTGGACAATTTTACCACTAGCAGGAAAGATTTGAAAATGAATTCTCTGTTAATTTTGCATTTTTGATTTATTATTAACTCCTAGATGTACTTCAGAAAACATACCTTGAGATATCGAGTCCAACGCATTTTTTACACTGTGTTTCATGCTGAAAGAGTAATAGAGAATGTTAAATCATTCTTTTTCTCTTCTGTTTGTAACAGACACTCAATCTTGTTCAAACTATAGGAACGAGATATAAACTTAAGTAATTATTATTTAAGCTATCTAAGGCCGACTTTTATTTTCAAAGAATTATATTCATATAATGTTTCTGTTTGTTTATTTTAGATGGGAAAACAAAGCTATGTATTGCATTGTATCTGTGTTTGGTTTGTCGATTTAATCAATAATCCAAAATAGAAGAATATATAGACATTTATCAAGTATTTAATCAAAATGACATCTAAAGATTATTCTTTTTTGTTATACATTGTATCTAGTGTTTTTGGTTCTTTCGTAAATTTTTTTTTTGTAAACAAGAAAAACAAATACTAAATAAGTTTTTCTTTGTATGTAGAATTATTGATCTGTCTCTTTTCTATCGGATCAGCCATTTCTTGTTTTTGAAGTATTTATTTATAAACGTTGATGCTACTACTTTAGCAGTCTTTTTTACTTTTAATAAAATCGTTGGTAGATTTCAAATGCATAGGTTTATTGTTTTGTTTCTATAGTATTTATGAATAAGAGTTTATTTACCTTACCTTGGTTGAAGGTACTGTTAGAGAAACAAAATTTTAGTTTGATTAAATGTAAAAAGTACATTTTTTATCTACAATAAATTTTCTCCAAGCGATCGATACTCAAAACCATATCATAACTTAAACTTTAGAGATAAATTAGAGATTTTTACAACTATCTGACACTCAGTTACCATTTCATCTATTATGTGTACGAACAGCTAACTATCAGAGTGAAACGTATTGAGAGGATATAAATAATTTTAATATAAATCAGAAAGATATTTGATATAGCACTAAGTTTCTTCTATAGATTTGTATTTTTCTTCGACTCATTTTGTCTTCATAATTTTACAACGATGTGTGGTCGATTTGCTTGGTATGTATTTTTTTTATCCTTGTTACTGTCTAAAAATGTTTTATTTTCTTCTAGTGGTTTAGCCCCCGATGTTGTTCGTCGTCTTTGTACATATATGAACAATGAAACACATGAGAAAACGGAACCAGATTGGTTTAATCTAATGGAACAACATGGTAGAGATTTTAAACAATCATGGAATATTGCACCAACCATGACGTGGTAATATATTAACAGAAATCTTGTTATATAGAGAAATAGAATCTTGCTAAGCTATCTCTGTCAATGTCACCTTCTATAATGTCAACAGCAGCTGGTTATGCAAGTTACACTGATGAAGTGACAAGAGAAAGCTCATATTGTGAGAATAATCAGGAAAAACTGTGAATGACAGAATAAAGAAAATTTTCTGTTATATTAACTATAGGTGAAATTGAATTTTTTTTTTACAAAAATTATTCAAATATTCATCGTTTCTATTCTCTGTACGTTTAGTTTATGTCTGATAAGTGAAAAACATTTGGATTCATCATGTGATAGTAGCCGATATGCTCTATGTTCAATGAGATGGGGTTTGATACCGTCTTATTATCAAGCTGATATTGAAAAATTTTCTTTTACAATGAACAACTGTCGATCAGAAACAATCATGGAAAAGCCAACATTCAAAACACCATTTCGTAACGGTCAACGATGTGTCGTTTTAGCCGAAGGGTATTTATATCTTTACATGATCTTATTCATTCTTCCATCTATGTAGTGATTTTGCGGGGCCTGAATTTCGGCCCACGGTTTTTTTGTCCCGGACTTTCGGTCCGGTCCAAAATTCCGGTGATTTTTCGGCCTGGGTCGAAAGTCTGAAAGGAATTTCGGGTCGAACCTTAATTTACCTAATTAATTTATAAATAATTAGTAAACTTCATGGTGCTCAGCAGTACGACATGGTGCTCGGCAAAGTGATATAGTGCTTAGCAGTGCAAAACGATGTTCAGCAATTTTCATTCATTTCTATTAGAAGTGAGGCAGAGCACGATACTCTACCAATATAATTGTAGTCTGGTCAAAAAAAAAGATAATCTCAGCTTCCTCAACAGAATATTTAACCTGTGTTTCGACCAATATCCGAATCGTCAAAATATTTTTTCTCACTATGCATAGTGCTGGGTACTAGGCTGTCTAGCTAAGCACTATGTCGCACTGCCAAGCACTATGTCATCTTGCTGAGTACCATGTCATACTGCTGAGCACCACGTTTTATTGAAAGTGCATAGTGCTGAGTACCATGAAGTTTACTAATTATTTATAAAATTAATTAGGTAAATTAAAGTTCGGGCCGAAAGTCCGGAACAAAAATTTCATGAGCCGAAATTCATGTAACCCGTAATTTTTAGATTTTATGAATGGAAAAAAGATTCAAAACGTGAACCTTATTTTATTTATGCATCAAAACCATTGATAGATGATCAACCAAATTATCCAGAAATTAATATTGACGAAATTGAAAAATATATTCATCCAGATAAAAGTGTGTTAGATATGATTGAAGCGAGAGTAAATGAGTAGTGTTCGTATCGTTTTAGCTGATAAAAATCAATTCCCATTATTAGCCATGGCCGGTCTATTTGATATTAATCGATCAGATAAAGTAAGTAGGAATGTTGTCGAGGAATATAATGAGTATGTTATTCTGGTGAGTAGTGTTATATCAGCACTAATTTATCAGATCAAGAATAGTGACAGCTCTTATTAAATGCAGCGTTAATGTTAACCATGAAATATTTTGATGTTCAACACTTTATACTTTGTTTTTTCTTATATCGTAGGATAATCCTTTGTATTCATGTACAATAATAACAGTTGAAGCTAGTCCAAGAATGCAAGCTGTTCATATTCGAATGCCGGTAGGGGTTCTTAATCTGAATACTTTGCTATTTGTTGAAAGACTTTAATTGCTTATTGATTAAATTTAATTTAAAAATCGCTTTTAATCAAATTCATTTTCAATTGCTTAATTGTAGGCAATATTAACAACACAAAAAGAAATTGATGAATGGTTAGATTATGGACATTATAAAGCTCAAAATGTAATAAAAAATAATGCAAACTAAATAAAATCATTAGCAACTGCGCGTTTCTAGTCAATTATTTTATTACTTGATCATGCCACTCTGCTATCAGGGTGAAATTTCGTGATCTTGTTCTTCTACTTTGTACTTGCTATATATTTCGAATGAAGATCTACCTAGAGGTCTACAACTTCTTGTAGAATGAGCTGTGCTGAACAATATGCTGAAATATCCTCGAACTCTCCACAATCGTCTACCCAGAGGAACTGTATGGTATGTCATAGCGTAGTAAGTATGCCGCTGAAGGAGTAATCTGAGATACACGTAGCTTGTCCTAGATTATTATTTGACTTGTGTGCTCTAACGTTTGATCATAATACTTTTGCGCGATGAACAATATAATCATCAAGTTATACTATCAGAAAATAGATACGATCTATAATGTGATCTTGTTTTGATACTTATTGTTGTTGTTTAGGCTTTGTCTTTACTTAAACCATATGATGATGTGTCAATGTATCGTGTAACACCCGATGTTGGAAAATCAGGAACAAATAATATCGATTATATTAAACCTTTATTCGATGGCCGTGTTAACTCAAAGTTCGTATTCTTTGTCATCTACCCATTCATTTAACATACGTTTTTTTATTACTTCAGCAGTAAAAGTTCATTGCCGACTCAAACAAAAACACTAGATTCATTTTTGAAACAACAAAAGCCCGAGGATTTATTTGCCAAAGTCGAATCACCAAAGTCAAAATTGAAAACAACAACATTAGATTCTTATTTTAAAACAGAACAACAAGAACCACAATCGCCAAAACGTGGTAGAAAACCAGATAAACAACAAGATTCACCAAAACGTGTTAAAAAATAATGTCAGATAACTGATTCTAAACCCGGTGCTTTTGTTGCGTATGCATTTAAGAATTAGAACTGTTTCTCATGTAATATAGTTATTATTTCTTGTCAGATTTTTTCAGTCATTTATTCTCGTTGGACAGTGTGTTCTTTTATCTACTTTATTTTGTTAGGGATAATACAGTCACTTCTTTTTTTTCGCTATTAAATGTGAAGAACAAGTTAAAAGTAAATTAACGTTGTAAATTCATATTTGTAAAGATGAATGTAGCGTAACCTAAAGCATATTTAACGATAAAGCGCGATTCGTACTCTAATGTTTCTATTATCGTTTAGAACCACTTGAATTTGAGATGAAAATAATTTTTGCAGTGAAAATGTGTATAAAACAGCTTTAAAGTGATTCGAAATTCGAATGCACGGAATCTATTACTATGTCCGAATGTGTATCCCTCTAATAAAATCTTGAATAATTACTCAAAGATGAGTTTGAATGTAAAAGTACGATTCTTCAATTTTCTGAGTCACATTTTAAAGTTCTCGTACGTAAATGATGCTACTAATATTAAAAAATAATACGGAAACACATGATCTGAGTATTTCAGGCTAGTTTTTCAACGTGACGAATCATTCAATATATTTTCTATTAAACAAAATTTAACAGAAAACGTTTTCTCAAATGTTCAATAGTACCGCGTGATTTAATACACATCTTTGTTTTTTACCGCTGTTATGCTATCATCAACGTCTACTGTGACTCAACTAATTATAATATTTGACAATTGACTGGGCACAACTATTGATCGTTGTGACATAGACGGAATTGCACATATTTGATGTCTATCATCAATTTTCTTATGTAAGTTTGCCCACGGTGATTGGGAATTGATATCTTGATATTTCTTTGGCGTACGACACTTCATAAAATACCCGAGAAAACCCAGAATTGCTATTAAAGCGAAAAGAACACCGGTAAAATACAATGCAATGGGCCATACTGGTGTGAAACCATTGAAAAAGCCGTCATTATCTTTTGAACGAGTATCAGTTTTACGTTTCATTCTTAGATGTGGTATACGATGTTAGTTCGGGACAGAAAATGTTTAGCGCACTGTAGGCTTCTAATTATTGTACAAACATAATTTTACTCGTTCAGCGGGGACTTTACTTAATGTCATTACAACAAAAGCTGCTGTTGAACGATAAAGGCATACAATATCATTAACGTCACAACAATCACAAGTTGTGCTCCATTATTTGTCAACTGTTCAAATAGTCAAGTTATAATAGTCATCGATGGTATTGCTTAGAGGTATCAATATATATTATTTTGTGTAAAATCTAATGGTATCAGTTTATTTCCAAAATTTTTGTGCAGTTCACTCAGACTGTTTAAAATCACGTTTTTATCATGAAGTTTTCTGAGAATCTTATCAACACTAACAAGAATTTGAAGCTTTATGGCCTTATCTTAGGGTATTGCTAAAAGACGCGAACACCCACGAACATCCACGAACACCCACGAACACCCCCAAATTAAAATCTGAGTTAGGCAATCGATAGAGCTCGTCGAGCTGAGTATAGTAATCCCTAACGAACACCCAAAAATTTTTTCATAGTTTCACTTTTTAAGCATACATTTTGAA